CGGCCGGCCGGGGGCCCGAGCCATCCCCGACACAGACAGGGCTGCAAGAAGTGTGCACGCCCAACCGGCAGCTCTGGGCCAGCATCCGCACCCCACCCTCCACACCGCGGCTGGAGAGATCACAGAGGGGAGGGAGCCACACACGTGCATCCCCAGCTCCCACTCACCCCCACATCCTGAGCCTGCCCCTCATACGCCGCTCACCCGCACGTCTTGGGCCTGCCCCCTGTACCCCGCTCACCCGCACGTCCTGGGCCCTTGTAGAGCAGGGCTGCAGGGTTCCTGCTGCCTTTTTGGGGCTCAGGCTGGGTCTGGGCCAGCCTTGCTCTCCTTCTCAGCCCCCAGCCTCTGACTTCTGCCTTCTGCCAAGTCTCCAGGCCCTGGGGCAGCCATGAGCATTGGCCATCCATGCTCCAAAAGTGACACCAAATGCCAAGGGCAGCAGCTACACCTGTGGAGGAACCCAGGAGGCGTCACAGCGGCGCTTCACCGCATCACTCGGCCACCCCAGGACTCCACCTATCCCAGCCTGCATCCCAAAGGCTCCCCTGATCCCAAAGGCCCCCGGATCCCAAAGGCCCCGAGGCACGAAGGAGGAGAGCCACCTGCAGAGAAACCAAGAGCCTGCCGGGATCCGCCCGGCCCAGGGCCGCGTCAGAAACAGTACCTGGGGAGGCTGACCACCGGTTGGTTGGCGGGTTTCCAGGTCACACCTGAAAAACAGCTCATGCGCAGTGACTCACCACTGTGGACGTCACGGCCTGTGGGTGAAAAGCCCCTGGGTGCGTGAGGCTCGCCCAGCCCCAGGAAGGGAGAAAGCCAGGCGGCCGCAGGGGACGGGCCGGACACCCTGACTGCTGCGTGCAGGAAGCGGCCCCGGGGCACGCTGCGCATGTCGGGGAGGCGCCCACAGCCGGGGAGCAGGGGCACATCCCCTGTGTCGCAGAAGAGGACGAAGCCTCCCAGAGGGCGCACAGCTGGCTGGAGTGGCGCTGGCACCCAGGCACGGGTCCCCACCTGGGACAGCACTGGGTGCCAGCACCTGGCTTCCGTCTGTCCACCCGCCACCAATCCTCACCCTCCGTGCGGCCCTGAGCCACAGCCCGAGCGCTGCCTGCGGGCTCCCCGCACCCCCGGCCACACCCCGCCCCCCCTTTCATCCTCAGCACCCCCGAGTGGTCCTTTCCCCTCCCGGCGCTCAGGCCCCGCTCTGCGTCCGCCGCACCCCTTCCCAGTGGACGCGGGGACAGTGCCGTCCCCTGCCCCGGAGCGCA